CTGCATTACGAAGTCGTCGTCCAGCCATAGTGGTAAACTCTCCGGGCACAGCAAGAATAACAAAGTTTCCTATTTTGAGTACCTGCACATCTGCGATAGCTGGCCCCCACCTGGAAACAATGTACGAACATTGATAAATATATCAAGAGAAAAATGTGATGTCATTGACGATGAATTCCTTTTCTTGATGTAAAACTACTTACGCATACGGAAAAGTCGTTTCTCCCGTAGCCAAAAGAACCGGTTTAGGTTTTTGACACTCGATAAGCTCAGCCGAAGGCTTTTTGATGGCCCCACGAACGAAGTCCCAGAACGGATTTCCAGTCAAGTTATCGCCCTGCTTGAAATCAAAAGCACCTGGACCATCAGTTGTTCCTGCAGCAAAGCTGTATCCCATTGCTGCTTTGCACAGCGTGACATTCTCGCCATTCAGTTTGAAAGAGTATTCAGGCATATTGATAAATTGATGTCTGTAGTCTACTGAACCGATGACGGGCGTCGTAGCACTGTCGAGCAGTTCCATCGCCTTTTGCGCCTGACGCTCACCAATTAGGCGTGTAGATTCAAAGTCGCTGGTGAGCCATCCGGGACCACGGCCTTGGCATAGTTCATTTTTCCCGTTGCAAGTACTAGTTTGGTAATCACAAGGTTCTCCTGTATCCTCACAAAACGCACCTAGCGTGTTCGGACTAACGTCACCCATATTACTTTGTGCAAATGCGTGGACTGATCCCGTTCCTGGAAGAGTATCTGGACCGTTGAAAGTCTTTTCCATCAGATAGCCTGCATATCCTTTATTATCATCCGATATGTATGTATTATTGTTATACATGGATGTGCAATGTACTGCGAACCAATTAACCGATCCAAGAACTTTGCCGTCCGTGGTTGTGAATTTGAGCAAAACCATTTCGGTATCTGTGTTGGTTTGTACTGGTCTTTTTCCTCTTGCGGATTGTTATCGTATGCATACGGGCTGCGATTGATGTTAGCATCCAACAATTCTCCGCTCG